TGAATAAGAACTTGCCATTTTCGAATCCTAGGGTTACAGCTTTCTCAAATTAGGGATTTTGCCTAGGGGAAAAATTAGAGCCCATGACCACCATGGTTGAACTCAGCATCTTGAGATGAAGAAGAAGACATACTCGCGCCTAATTTATATTAGGAAACGAGCTATTCGCTATTTCTTTGTAGCTTACCTAATGCAACGCTTCAAAACCGTTGCTGTTGTATTTTATGTTTCAGGACACGCGAGGAAGAAGAAGACGTGTCAGCTGGTGATTGATTCGTTCAAATTCGCGCGCGTTTGACCACTATGCATTGATTATTCTTTTTATTATTTATTAACTATTATATGTTAATTGAGATACAACTGGCTCAATGGTAACGTGTTAAGTGCATGACATCAAAGACCTGGGTTCAAGTCCCAGGTCTTGCAAAATTTAATGTTATTTTTCATTTCCAATTCACATGCAGCGCTCACACTGATGCTCACCATACTCCATCAGAATTCAACCTCCACGTGTCCCAGGGCCTCAGATCCATGGCCAAGATGAAGAGTGCACCATACATCAAGTCAGCAGGCGCACACTTGAATGGAAAAAGTCAACAAATTGCCAGCAAATGGGCCAGGCTTTTCAGGCTTGCACCTCCAAATTTGGGACTACACCCTCCTGGTTCTATCTTTTTTTCTTTTTTAATTTTCTTTATATTCTATTATTTTTAAATTTACTTGTGTTTTACTTTCTGATTTAATTAATTTTTACAAAAATATAAAAAACATTAAAAGTACAGAAAAGGCAAAAAAAAATATAATTAATTTTGATTCTTTTATAAATAAATTAAAATGTAACTCATTTAGTTTAATTAGGTCTTAGTTTTAATTTTAATTCTTTTTTCATAATAAAAAATCAAAAAAAATGTAGAATTAGGTTAATTATTAATTTTTTATATCTTTTTTAATTTTTTCCTTTTTTCTCACAATGTTATTATTTATTATTTATTTTCTATAAATCAAAATTGTACATGAATTAGTTTAGAATTTAATTAGGTTAGAAATTAAATCTTTTTTCATAATAAACTTAAAAAACATTAAAACTAGGGTTTAGCACTTTAATTCTAATTAATTTTTTCTCTTTTTCTTTTAAACCTAAAAAACACAAAAACATTATTTTTCATTTAATTTTTAATTTTAGATTCCTTGATTAATTTTAATTATTTGTAAAAGGGTCCAATGCCCTAATTTTGTTTAAACTCTTTATTTCGCACATTTATTTTGTTTAAATACCTCTGTATATGCCCCAAAGCCTTGTAATAAGTTTAGATTTATTTCTCGCACTTTTTATTCTATTCGCTTTATTTATTTTCAGTCAAATCGGGTTCGGTTTTTTTGGCGATGTGGACCCGCGCCAGTTGTAATAGTTAGATTTATTTTCTCGCAAGTATAACTGTTAATAAATATGCATGAAAGAATGAATGCCCAAAAAATAAAATCGAATCGTTAGATCACCAATGCATGACAAGACAAACAATAAACTGAAAATGACACACAATTCGCACACACCACCCCTAGGGTACGCCTCACTGTTGCCTTTCGAAAGGTGGTCGTCGAGTAGAAAACGTCTTAGTAAGTCCTCATGGTCCGGGAACCTGGCATGAGGGTAGCTTCTAAGGTGTCTTCCCATTGCTCCGGTGATCACCATGTCCCTAAAATCGAATTGACCCGAATACCTCCAACGGTGGTGCTACCTACCTCTCAATGGTGGGATGGCACTACCTTAAAGGACATTTACACAGACGAATTCCTTAGGGTAGGTAGGTTCTCAAGGATACTTGCTCTAATTTCAAACAAATCAAAATACTTTTCACACCAACACACTTTCAAAAACTTTCAAAACAAACTTTTCAAACACTCTGACGTACGAGTTAAACTGAAACTTTTCAAAGAATATTTTTGAAACCCACATTGAAAAGCAAGCACACATTTTTGAAAACACATTGAGCAAGTACCTAAGAGCCCATGGATAACCATGGATAGAAAGGGTGCTAACACCTTCCCTTTCTATAACCTACCTCCCGAACCGAGAGCAATCTCTTTTAAGGAATTTTTCTGTGCTTTTGTCCTTTCCATTTGGAGAAAATAAAAGACGGTGGCGACTCTTGCTTCCGCGACATTTCGCGAACCAGCGTTAAACAGTCAGTTCCAGATCCACCGATCACACCAACCGACCATGATCAGTCACTAATCTGTCTTGAAGCATATGTTTTGTTTCCTGAAGTTAATTCCAATCAGGTTAATTTAGAAGACGTTGGAGTACATCAGCAACATGATAACAATGCCATTGTCAAAACTCTCATTCCAACAGACTATATTATAATGCAAAGTTGTTATGGAAGAAAGAAATCACAAGAGTATCAAAAGGAAAAAAAATGTCATGGTGATAAATCATATAAACTATTTAATGGCATATTATAGAATTTTTTTTTCTTCTATTTGAAAACTAACAAAAAATTTAAATTTTTTAGAATATTCCAACTGAGATAGTTCGGAAGAATTTTCGTGCGGATCAGACTGCTCTATCCTTGATAGACCTTGATGAAATAGAATATTATGATTGTCAGATTCTTAAAGAAAAAAAACCACATACTGAGATGTATCTTAAAAATGGTTGGTATGAATATGCAAAGTCTAAAAACTTCAATATTGATGATAACTTGATTTTTCATTACCGATCTGATTCAAAGACACTATATGTTAAGTTGGAGAGAAAGCACCGAAAGATGGTTAGTGGAATTAATGTATGAGGCTTTATGTTATTTTGTCTGTGTCATTAGATGCTTAAATGTTTATCTTAAAATAAATTATTATAAATTTATGTCAGTAGTTATCATATTGATGTTGAGGTTAATATTTATGCTTTTTTAAAAATGTAATCTAAATACTATGAATATTAAGTCATATATCAAGTTAATTATCATAAATATAGAACATTTTGCATTTTTATTTCTGATAGTCTAACTACAAACATATAAAACAATGTTACCTAACCTCTTTAAACAAAAAAAAGTCACGATTTTGCACGACCCGCGCACGAGTCCTATACTAATTAAATTTTAAAAAAATTAATCACACTTTATTTTGAAATGTGACAGTCAAAATCTATCCACATATTATATATCAGATTTTACAAAATATTTGATAATAATTAAATTTTTATATCAATTATATTAAAAATCTAATGTAAATATAAAAATTTAATATATTTATATCAATTTGTTTCAAACATTTGAAATACTCATATAAACAAAAAAAATTAGTTTAAAAAAATTAAAATAAGATACTTTGGTTGGACAATTTTTTAACTAATAGTTTGTTGAGATATTTTTGTGTTATATATAAATATCAGTTTGTTAATTTTAAAAGGGTTAATGTGTAGCACATGTGCCCAATAATAAAATATAAAATTTATATTTTATTTGAAAATAATTATAAATTATGAAATTAAAGTATGTTAAAACAAATTAGATATTATTTAATTATTAAAAGAATGATTACATATAATTTACAATTGTTCCTAAAAAAATTAATAAGATAAAAGTATTATATGTTTATTGTTGAGATTTTATTAGAGATTTGTATCAAATAAAATAAAAATAGAAAAAAATTAAAATACTAATAATAATTGTGTAAGTGACACGTATCATGAGAAAACCTCATTGTGTAACTCTTTTTTAATAGTATATACAATATTTATTTATTTATACGGAATTATATATATATATATATATATATATATATATATATATATATATATATATATATATATATATATATATATATATATATATATATATATATATATATATATATATATATATATATATATATATATTATTTAATGAATCTGTTAAAATTCTATATATAGTAATTTAATCAATTTGACTATCTCCTAAACTAATTGATTCAAACGATTTATTTTTTGGATTAGATTTATGTCTTTGAAATCTATCTTTTCAATAAATTTTAATTCAATTATTATTTTTAATTAATTTATACAGAAGAATAAGAAGTCTCTCGGTCAGATTCTAACATCATTCGGGAATATATTAGAGCCTCCTTGTGATTTATCACATGAAGTTTCATGATTACTTGAACCTCTACTTTGATGTTTTCTCCTTGATTCAGTAATCAAAACCTCAGAATATGAAGAAGAACCTCGTGACTTGTGTCTCAACTCCTCATTCAACATACTACTTTTAGCCAAGTCCATCGAGATGATACCATTTGGAGCGAAATTTGAGAAGGATGTCCTAAAATTCTCCCAAGAATTAGGCAAAGTATCAAGAAGCCACAAACCTTGAATTTCTTCATAAAAATTAAGATTCATATTCGACAATTAATTTAGAATCTCTTGAAAAGTGTTCAAGTGATCGGTTATTGGTGAACCATCATTATACCTCAATGGCATCAATTGTTTGAATAAGAACAAATTATTATTCTCCGTATTTCTTGCATACAGCTCCTTAAGTTTGGTCCAAAGAGAGCGAGCATGATTCACCGAGCTCACATGACTCAAAACATTATCATCCACCCATTGACGAATATAACCATAAACTTGTCTATGCAACAAAGTCCATTCTTCATCACTCTTTCCATCGGGTTTTTATCATTAGAGAAAACCGACAAGTAAAAACCTTTCACATAAAGCAAATCTTCAATTTTTCCTTTCTAAACATTATAATTGGAACCATTCAAACTCACAATCCTAGATGTGTTCATCTCCATCGTTACACAAATCAAACCACGACTCTAGATACCAATTGTTGGGACGAAATCACAAACGCAACAGAATAACCCAAGAAGTCAAACTCTCCTAAATATCAAATGCACTGACAATCATCAAAAACACATTAAACAATACAACACAATTTTAGCATGGAAAAACCTCCGTTAACTAGGAGTAAAAACTCATGAGACCCGTAAACCACTTAAAATATTCACTATAATCAACAATGGCTACAAGAAAGGTTCTATCTAACACTAGTTAGAGGCATACATAAACATCATCAAGATTTAGAATTAATATTAGAATACAACAAGAATCAAGAAAGACAAAACAACCCAAAAACACCAAGAAATTCAGACTTCAAAAATAGACTCGACATACCAACTTAGAAAGCTTCAAATCCAATCAAAATCATTCAGAATGTTCTCCCATGAGTCATGAACATTGTGTCAAAATTTCAGAATGATCCGACCATTGGATTTTGCGCAAGCTCCGATTTTCTGGGACTGATTTGTGTAGAATTGAGGTTGCGAGAATAGGGTTATCTCTCTAGCCTTTCTTGTTGTATTTCTAATACAATGAATGAATAACTTAATTCTCTTTATTAGATAATAACAAAGACATAGACATACACAAGCCATTAACCCACATCCATTTAAGTCTCTCCAAATTACAGGGATATCCAAACAAGTTCTTACCTCATGCAATCCACATCATTGTCTGAAATCCAATTACGGCAATGCTGGCGCGATCTATTTATTTTTCTTTGTCTGGGAGTAATTTCTTTCGAACTGAGTTTTCTCTCTCACAACAAACAGAAAATAAAACCTAATACGTGCGGTTCCTTTTGTTTTATTGGGAATAGTCAATTTAATTTTGTTGATTCATCTTCACACGCATGATAGAAAATTCTATCAGTTTCCAATGCAAATATCACATTCCAATTAACAGTATTATAGACTATCTGCTCCTATTTATTGCTATACAAGTAAAGTTTTACGGGCAGATGAATACTTCAACCAATATCCACATGTTTCCCTTAATTATATTTTTTTTAAATGCTGCCATATTCAATACAATAGTTGCTTTATACGATTTTTACATTGTTTAGAAACAACTTATGTTGTACCATTTTTCAACTCTAAACAAAAAAATCTATTACAACCCCACAGTTTCTTTATATAAATAGTATACTTCTCAATAGCCACAATACATGATAATAATGTCATTGTTCAAAAATCTCATTTCAACAGACTATATTATAATGCAAAGTTGTTCTGCGAAAAAGAAATCACAAGAGTATCAAAAGGAGGAAAAAATGTCATGGTGATAAATCATATAAACTATTTAATGGCATATTATAGAATTTTTTTTCTTCTATTTGAAAACTAACAAAAAATTTAAATTTTTTAGAACATTCCAGCTGAGATAGTTCGGAAGAATTTTCGTGCGGATCAGACTGCTCTATCTTTGATAGACCTTGATAAAATGGAATATTATGATTGCCAGATTCTTAAAGGAAAAAAGCCACATACTGAGATGTATCTTAAAAATGGTTGGTATGAATATGCAAAGTCTAAAAACTTCAATGTTGATAATAACTTGATTTTTCATTACTGATCTGATTCAAAGACACTATATGTTAAGCTGGAGAGAAAGCGCCGAAAGATGGTTGGTGGAATTAATGTATAAGGTTTTATGCTATTTTGTCCGTGCCATTTAGATGCTTAAATGTTTGTCTTAAAATAAATTATTATAAACTTATGTCAGTAGTTATCGTATTGATGTTGAGGTTAATATTTATGCTTTTTTAAAAATGTAATCTAAATACTATGAATATTAAGTCATATATCAAGTTAATTATCATAAACATAGAACATTTTGCATTTTTATTTCTGATAGTCTAACTACAAACATATAAAACAATGTTACCTAACATCTTTAAACAAAACAAAAAAGTCACGATTTTGCACGACCCACGCACGGGTCCTAGACTAATTAAATTTTAAAAAAATTAATCACACTTTATTTTGAAATGTGACAGTCAAAATCTATCCACATATTATATATCAGATCTTACAAAATATTTGATAATAATTAAATTTTTATATCAATTATATTAAAAATCTAATGTGAATATAAAAATTTAATATATTTATATCAATTTGTTTCAAACATTTGAAATACTCATATAAACAAAAAAATTAAAATAAGATACTTTGGTTGGACAATTTTTTAATTAATAGTTTGTTGAGATATTTTTGTGTTACATATAAATGAGTTTGTTAATTTTAAAAGGGTTAATGTGTAGCACATGTGGCCAATAATAAAAAATAAAAAATATATTTTATTTGAAAATAATTAAAAACTATGAAATCAAAGTATGTTAAAATAAATTAGATATTATTTAATTATTAAAAGAATGATTACATATAATTTAGAATTGTTCCTAAAAAATTAATAAGATAAAAGTAATATATGTTTGTTGTTGAGATTTTATTAGATATTTGTATCAAATAAAATAAAAATAGAAGAAAAACAAACTCAGAAAATGTTGGGATCGTGAAGATGATTTACATGATTACCTCAAATACAAGAACACGCAAAATAAAAATCAAAACAAGTTCAACTACTTCAAAAACCTTCTTCACAAATTTGTTATCAAGCATCCAAAACCCGACCCAGAACTTGTTCAGTTCACAGGGGGTTCAGCCAGCATTGTACAATCTCATACCCTTGGTCTTCAAGAGCAAAATAGAGACAACAATGCTGAAGAAAATCTCACAGAAGATGAAGAAGATTATGATGTCGAGGATGATGATGTTGAAGAAATTGACATGATGCATGTGGATCATGATCCCATGGTAAATGATTTTGATTTTGACTGCATGCAATTGAAATCGGTACTTTTTTGATTTTGTGTTGGTTTATATCTGAAAGGATGAACATTTTTGTAGGATAATGAAGTGAGTGCAAGGAAAGGTGCAGAGTTTAGAGAAAGACTAATGAATGAAGTGAATAGGCCTTACTGTGAGGAAGAGTGCAACAGACTTGGTAAGTAGGATTTTTCTATGCTTATGTGAAGTTAATCTTTCTTTCAGTTCATTGTGTTTGATTGATGAGGATTTATGGTGATAGAGCAAAAACCACTTTGAAAATGTGTTGGTTTTTATTTTGAAAATTTGCAACTATGTAATGTTTGATTCTTGTTTTTAGATCTTGCAAAGCAAATAGATGCAGCTGGTGATAATCTTCCCAAACGTGGCTTTTTCTTTTGGTTGACAGTAAGTATCTCGCTACATGTTTTAGTAACAATGTCGCTCCATTGGATTTGGATGTACTGCAACAACATTAGGAAAGGAAAGGATGATAATTTATTGTGTTTGGTTTTCTATGGTTATGTAAGGCTGCATTTTAAGTAGGTTAGTTAGAAATGGGTGTGTTATATCTGTCTGGCCAAGCTTGATTTCATAGTTTAATGTGGTTTTTAGGATGAACAAGTGTCACATATAGCCTGTAAGAACATGAAGCTCAAATTATGACTTGTGTTACTCTTCTTAAGGAACAGGGAAAATCCCTCTTAACATATCATTCTTGTAAGTGTATGTTTTAATCATTAACTACTCTGCAGAATGAAATTTTCAAAACCAGTGAAAGAAGAAGACCATTTTGTCATGCAATTCATATGAACCTCAAAACAGAAGTAACATTTTAAATTTTTCTGAGTATCAAATTTTCATTCATTCAAGATCACACTTTCCTAACAAGCGTAAATTCGTACAGAATGACATTGCCTAATAGTAATTACAAACCATATGAGTTAGCCCTAGATTTGTTCTTGCCCATAAGAATTGATCTGATAAGCGTGTTATTCCTCCTCGAGTTTCTTTCTCTGACTCTCTGACTCTTCTTTCTGTCTCCGAATCATCTGTAATTCCCTTTGCTGCTCCTCCTCCTTCCGCTGGAGCTCTAGAACTTCTCTTCTCTGAGACTCTTCCACTCTCCTATTCTCTTCAAGCATCTTACACGTGCTTCCAAAATAAGAATAAGAAGTCTTAATCCTATGATAGAGAGCATGGAAATAAATGCTCTTGTATTTTGACGTCTCTATATCATGTTTCACATTTTCATTATGTTGACATAAAATAATTTACTCTACTAAAAAATTATGAAATTTATAAACATATAACAAATATAGTCTTAAACAAACTAGAGATAACATCATAATTCATACAACAATTATACCTACGACATTAAAACTTTAATAATAACTATTAATCAAATACTTTTCTCTCCCATTTATTCCTCACTCAAAGTCTTTTTATTTGGAATCAACAATCTTCAACATTTGACTTCTTTTCTTCTTCCGTTGTCGAAATCACAATTGATTTGTTTGATTTTTCCCTTTCTTCAATTTCTTCCGACTCATTAGTATCAAGTAAAAAGTATAACTTGTCATTAACCCTGAATGACCAAATATCAATTTTTTGATTCTTCCTAAAATTATTCTTTGACAAAACCTTTGTCCAGTCTTGAGCAAGATTATAAATGCTAGTAGTGGTCATATTCCACTTCTTCAAATGTAATGAGAATTCATTCAAACAAGGATCTAATACAGTAACCTTTAAAGTAGCTGGTTTTCCTTCTTGATCCCTTGCTTCTAAGATTGACTTTTCTATTTCGGTCAGGAAATCAGATCTAATTTGTGAAATTGGCATTGAAAGACGTTTGTTGTTATAGCTAAGATCGGTGTTACATAATGTCTTACACATTATATATTTAATATCAATGCCATTCAACACTTTGATTATGTCATTAACATGATTAGGCAATTCTGGTGGTGGTGGTGATGGTAGAGTTTCTCTCTTATGATTTCTTGGTTTCCTCTTAATTGCGAGCTTTGGTTTTACTCTTCTTCCTCCATCAGACATGCTACTGGCTTCATTACTTGGCCGACACCTTTTTAAGTTGTTGATTTCTCTTCTTTCCACTTTATTTTGTGAAACAAGAGGAATATTTGCTTCTTCATACAAAATTTGATTGACTTTCTCTATTTGTGTTAACTCTTTTTCAGTATAAAACTGTGGAGAAAGTTGAGATAACACACTATGCAAAGTAAAATGAGGTAATGGGTCAAATTTCTTTTTCATTGTTTCCAATTTTTGCATATATATATTGATCTTCTCAATAGCCATAATTTTCTTTTTCATCAGGACTTCTTCTGAGTTTTGTAACAATGCACTTTTCTCCTCTATAGCCATTGATTTCTTTTTTCTCTCTCTCAATAATGTCTAGCTGTGTTGTGATATTCTAAGTGTTTATGAAGTGTGTATTTATAGTACTGATGAAGATTTAAAATTGAAAAGATTTGATATCTATACTTCGATCAATCAAAATTTGTTACAATAGATTTATTTTTAATTTTAAAATAGGGTATCACAAGTAGAGTTAAACTTAAAATAAGGATAGTTTGTTTTTTTCAATTTTAGTTGGATAATTTCTGTATATATCTCAGCCACCTTTATCCTTTATTATAGGCTAAACTTTTTAGAACATAAAAAAAAAAAAAATCAATCTTAGAATCTCGATCAATCAATGACATTGAATTTATTTTACCCATAAATTAAAGATTTGATACTAAAGAGCCAATTTCAACGTCTAATCCAAAAGGAAACAAAATCTATTTTATAATTTAAAATTTAATTTTTTAACCCCCTTTGATCTATATATTTTAATTACTGTTAGTTCTTTTTGAAATAAACATAGTTTTTAAAAAAAAATTAAATATACATCTTTTTACTTCCATTCTATTGTTTTACTTTTCATTCCATTAAATTTTATCAAACTTCTATATAAAATATAGTTAAATAAATTTGTGATTTTTATAAGTTTGAGCATAAAGGAATCCACATCGCAGGAGTTTTTAGACATACTGATTTAGCGAATTCACTGCGAGGGTGTAAGCCTCGCTCGATGAGATATTTCTTCATCCCGTCTATCGTGGAGATCTAAACGGCTTCCTGACTGAATCTTTTAATATACGTTCGAACGGACTCATCCTTCTCCTAGATGATGGCCTCCAGCGCAACTTCTCAACATTGATCAACTCAAATATAAATCATAAAACAAGTGTATTTTCCCATATATTTATCATCAAGTGTTCACATACAAAATATCAAGTTAAATACATACAAAGATGAGATTATCTACCACTAACCTTGACACAAAAGAGGGGTTTAGCTATCCATTATCATGGTAGCTTGATGAACAAGTAAACTATAAACTTTATAAATATCAAACTTGATATCTCAAAGATTGATGTTAGAAAGCTTTGATTTTGAGTAAAAATGACTTTTTTTCTCCACACAAGAGTTTTCTAGGTTACAAAGATTAAGTAAAATGTGATAACGTGCCTAAAATATCTTTAAAGGTGTCTTACAAACATGGCTTGTCCGCCTTGCCTCGTCGGAAGGCACACTTGCTTCGCCGGGCGACACCCACAAAATAAGCCCACGTGCTAGCAACAGTGCACGCAAGGAGAATTTGTCTAATCAACTCTTGAGCATCCTTGAGCATTTGAGAACCCTAGAAGAATGTCTTGAAGAAAATGGGAGGAAATTGTTTTGGGTACAATAGCTGCTCCTGTTCAATCTTCTTAAACTTGAAGAGTTAGATTGGCGGATCCGTCATTCGTGACTTGAAGGTGAAAGATGATTGAACACTAAAGTGCCCAGAAATTTGCACTCGAAGATGTATTGGGAATGGGCTTATAGATGCCATTTGGAGGAATGATGGTAAATACTGGAAGAAGTATCAGTATAAATCTTTGGTCGATTTATACTAAAACTTGATGTTTTGCCTGTGGGAAAAAGGGTTAGTTAAATGCAGATGTATACATGGCATTCTCAAGATGAATGAGATTGTGCTAAATGTGTTTCGTATGCATATGCTATGATGTATGAATGTGGGATTTTATTTAGATGCATATTTGTCTGGGAAAATAAATCCCTGACTACTGCTGAGGAGTTCTGGGAAGCTGAATCCCGGATTGCTGTTGGGGATGAAGAATATACATATTTTCAAATTTATTAAAAGAATGCTTCCGCCGGGGATTATCTCTTGAATGTCATCTGTTATCTGGTTGAACTCCAAGTTTCACACCAACTTGCTGAGGATGAGGAAGTCAACTGATATCTGGTCGAATTCCAAGTTTCACAATGAGTTTTTGAGGGAATAAAGTTAATTTCTATCTGGTCGGATCCAGGCTTCATAATAAATTACTTGAAAAGATGAAGTTGAACTGATATCTGGTCAGATCCATGCTTCACAATAACTTTCTTGAAACTAGTTATTATCTGATCGGGTTCCAGGCTTCACAACGAATTTTTGGGGGAATAAAGTTAATTGCTATCTGGTCGGATCTAGGCTTCACAATAACTTACTTGAAAAGATGAAGTTGAACTGATATCTGGTTGGATCCAGGCTTCACAATAATTTGTTGGGGTAGAGGCAAACTCTATTGGGGAAAAAAAAGTTAAACCCTTGTCTGGTTGAGTCCATGTTCTTTAATATCTCGAAGAGTTAAACTTTTATTTGGTCAGGTCCAGGCTTCAAAGTGTCTTGAGAAGTTAACTATTATCTGGTCAAGTCCAGGTTTCATAGTAACTGAAACATGTACTATTATCTGGTTGGGGCCAGGCTTCATAGTATTTGAAAAGTTACATTATTATCTGGTCGGGTCCAGACTTCATAGTGACTGAAAGTTGTACTATTATCTGGTTGGGTCCAGGCTTCATAGTAACTGAAAATTATACTATTATATGCTCGGGTCCAGGCTTCATAATATTTGAAAAGTTACACTATTATCTGGTCGGGTCCAGGATTCATAGTGACTGAAAGTTGTACTATTATCTGGTCGGGTCCAGGCTTCATAGTATTTGAAAAGTTACACTATTATCTGGTCGGGTCCAGGCTTCATAGTATTTGAAAAAATACACTATTTTCTGGTCGGGTCCAGACTTCATAGTGACTGAAAGTTGTACTATTATCTGGTCGGGTTCAGGCTTCATAGTATTTGAAAATTTACACTATTATCTGGTCGGGTCCATGCTTCATAGTATTTTAAACGAATGAAGTTGACTGTTATCTGGTCGGATCTAGGCTTCACAACAACTTGCTGAAGTTAAAAAACTGTTATCTGGTCGGATTCCAGGCTTCACAACAACTTTTGGAGATAACAATGACTTTTTTGGCGACTTCACTGGGGATTAGGGGTTGTGGCCCTCTGATTTGTAATAGTATGATAGGCAAACTCAAGCTGGAGAGGATAGACTCAGCCGAGGCAGAAAAATTTAGCTGGGGAAATAATCCTTGTTGGGGAAATAAACCTTGTTAAAGGAATAAACCTTATTGAGGAATACTTGACGAACTGCTGACGAGGTGAGTTCTTTCAGGAAGAGATCCACAAGGCTTCTTTTTTTAGGACCAACTTAGCTGGGGAGAGAGCTGTCAAGAGATTGAGACCTTGGCTGGGGATCAACCTATGCAAAGAGACTTTGTGAGCAACTCTGTTGGGGAAAGGTTTATTGTAGCCGTCCTTGTGGGGATAATGCTAATGAAATAACTCTGTGGGGATATTCCATATACATTAAAGAGATGCTTGTTGTTGTTTAGCAGGACACATGTGCCAAATAGTTTTAATTATGTTCACATGCATATGTTCGTTCAATTTTAGTCATTGGAAATTTTTGTATTCAAAACAAAAACAGAAAGTTTGTACTTCAAAGTATATTTGTATTGATATTTTGCCCATGAATAGGCGTTTTTGTACAAAGAGATGGAGATCCTAGTAAGAGGAACTCGTCGAAAGGAAAACAAAATTGAAAACAAAGATAATAGCCATGTGGAAGTGATCTCATCGTGTTCCGACTCTACTATTGCCCCAATGTCTTCGAATGTCCCTTGCCGTTGACAGAAGTTGATTGGATCGATCTTGGACCGTTTGAACTCAGACATTGGTAATAAAGTTGATTGTGGTGATCCCACAAGACATAGCCATACGCTTTCAATCCTTAACTTTTGCCTGGACCGCCCTTTCGGGTTTTCAGTCCACCAGGATACCCATTTTTGCCCAAGTCGCCCTTTTCGGTTTTCAACTTGCCGGGTGTACAATCTTTTGCATATATCCCTAATTTTTTCCCAAACCTTTTGGTTTGTCGGGATGCCCTTATCTTGTCTAGGTGTTTAAACCTAGCGGGTCTCTTATGCGTAGTATTTTTTAACTATGTCCGCGTTCACAGGATGTGGAAAATCTTCACCGTCCATGGTAGTCAATATCATGGCACCACCAGAGAACACTCTCTTGACAACAAATGGCCCTTCGTAGGTGGGAGTCCATTTTCCCTGGGGTCGCCTTGTGGAAGAATTATGCGCTTTATTACCAAGTCACCAGCTTGATATACTCGAGGCCTGATCTTTTTATTGAAAGCCTTGATCTTACGTTTTTGGTACACCTGACCATGACAAACGACAGTCAGTCGCTTTTCATCGATCAAGTTCAACTGATTCGATCTTGTCTGAATCCATTCGTCTTCGTCTTCTCCTAGGCATGCCTCATTCATAATCCTTAATGAGGGAATCTGAACTTCCATTGGCAGAACAACTTCCATGCCATAGACCAAAGAAAAGGGAGTTGCCCCAGTTGATGTCCGAGCTGAAGTACGGTAGCCATGAAGAGTAAACGGTAACATCTCATTCCAGTCTTTGTAGGTTACTACCATCTTCTGCACAATCTTCTTAATGTTTTTGTTAGCCGCTTCCATTGCACCATTCATTTTAGGCCTATAAGGAGAAGAATTATGATGCTTGATTTTGAACTGAGTGCAAAGTTCTGTAATCATAGCATTGTTGAGGTTAGTCTCATTGTCGGTTATGATCCTTTCGGGGATACCATAGCAGCATATGAGGTTATGTTTGATGAATCTGGCTACCACGCTCTTTGTGACTGAGGCAAATGAGGCGGCTTCGACCCATTTGGTGAGATAATCGATAGCAACAAGAATGAAGCGATGTCCATTGGAAGCAGTGGGTTTGATCTCTCCAATCATGTCAATGCCCCACATTACAAATGGCCATGGAGCGGTCACGATGTTCAGAGGGATAGGAGGCACATGGACCTTGTTAGCATAGATTTGGCATTTGTGGCAAGTCC